CTCCACCTGTGAAGATCAGAGTCTCCTTTATAAGTTTTCATACTTCTCTGTATTTTCCTTTCGTAGCACTTAGGATATTTTTGATTATATATGGCTATTGTTTCCCATCTCGTTAACTATGAAGCAGCGGGCAAAATAGTAAACTGTTTTACTTACCATTGCATTTTGTTAATGTTGTATTTAGTCTAGACTTTATTTAATAAATAAAAATATACAGTTGGATCAATTTGAAAAAGTTATCACTGACACGCTCCTTTGCTGTGTCTCCTTCAGTGATATCCTCCATTTCTGAATCTCAAAGTGGAATACTCAAACCAGATGTTTTAGTTCTTTTCCATTGCACTGTCTATTCTATAATCTCAAATACCCAAAGGAAAATGATCTTTGCTTTTTCAAGAGTAGGACTTAAGGGAAAAATCCTTAGTGTCTACTTTTTCATCTTTGCTGTTGTTTTGATATATCTAACTTGGCAGTTATAAAAATTTTCTTCTGAGAAAGAAAAGACCTCTGAGCCACAGGCCCTTCTAATGTGGGATGTAGGAAATTTCTGCTATAAACAGAGGAAGTCAGATGTTTCCTTTTCCATAACTTCTAAGAAAATTATTACTGCTAACATCTATTCCTACCTAAGAATAAAAGTAATTTAATACAAATCCAAGAAAATTTCTCATCACAGAAATTGATTTGCTTCATCTAGAGAAACAAATGTTAAACAACCTTCTCATCAACTCGATGGGGATATTTGCTGTTTGTACGTAATATAGCTAAGTATACTTAAGTTACTGATGAGTCTATACCATTTTCTGCTAATGCAAAGACATGATTTTATGTTTACCAAATATTTGAATCTTGTAGTGATAACTAGATAGTGAATCTTTGTAGAAGGAACGGAAGGTAATAAAGTCAAACATTTGCACGGGCTTTATAACTGTAGGTGCTTGAGTCTTCCCATAAAATTTGTAGTCCAAATTTAGCACTTTTGAGAGTATAAGAGGATACTGAGTGACTGTATTTGTATAACTTTTGAAATGTAATAAGACAGTTTTAGCATATTATGAATATATATTTCTTTTCAAAATATATCTATTTTCACAAACTTTTTCTTTATGATTTAAAGGTAACATCTGTATAAATTAAAGCAGAATGATATTTTAATCTTTTTTATATTGATTATCTTGAAAATAACATAAGTAGAACTCTCAGTTTCAGCTCTGACATATAAAGAGCTTGGAAGTTTTCACTTCCATCTTTACAAGAAGAAAACGTTGAACAAATTGAAAAACAACTACCTTTTTTGGCCCCACCAGAGAACTGAGGTGGAATGGCAAAACTACAGTCCCCAAATATAGAGAGAGAGGAGAATCCAGAGAATCACAGCTAAGATCTGTTTACCAACAGCAGATGCCACTGGAGACATAAACAGGTAGGAATATTTAAATGGTAATTTTGATGAATTTCTGGATGCTGAGAATGGACTGGGTTGAGCTTGAGAAACTTCTGTAGGCCACAGTTTTAGAAGGGTCCCCACACATTGGTGGATTTTACTTCTAGGAATCCTGCCAGGTCATGGTGAAGGTCCAAGAAAAATGTCCTTCTGGCTCTGGTAGGGGGAGAGAAAAAGAGATCATTGTGAAATATGCCTAGTGCCTTCTCCATAACAAAAGCCTACTCTCCAGGAAAAGGGCTTTACCAGAATCTTATCTTTTCTGGGGGAAGGGTATTCCTCCCACTCCAAAGTTCCTGCATAACCTAAGGGAGGAACAAAAGCTATGCCACTGGAGAAACACTGGTGAAAGTCACATCCCAGAGCCACAGGCCCACTAAAGACTAAGATTTAATCATAAGATTATAGAATACTTCCCTTCTGCCATATCTTACCACCACACCAACAGGGTTCTTGTAGAGCAGTAGCAGATTACAGCTGAAATTGCTGCAAGATGCTGACTCTGAGAAGGAGTACTTAGGGAAGCCCAGTCAAGAGAGGAGATTAAAAACAAGAACACTAAAGAAACTTGAAGCCTTTGGCACCTACAGTTAAAGCAAACACCAATCACAGTCCAATGCCTATCATAACATAAATCCTCACACTAAAGGTCTATTTTCCTCAGTTTCTATTACCCAATACAACTTGTCCAGGTTTCTGCAAAAATTATAAGGCATTCAAAAAGGTGAGAAAAAACAGTCTGAAGAAATAAATCAAGCAGACTCACATATGACAAAGATGTTGGAATCATCAGACCAGGAATTTACAATAATTAAAATTAATATGTTAAGAGCTGTAATGGAAAAAGTGGATGACATACAAGAACAGATGGGTAATGTAGGTGGGGAGATGAAAACTCTAAGAGAGAATCAAAAGAAAAGGGTAGAAATCAAAAACAGTGTAATGAAATGAAGAATGCCTTTGACTGATCCATTAGTAGAATAGGACTCAGCCAAGGAAAGAATCAGGAAGCTTGAAGATAAGTCAACGGACTCTTTACAAACTGAATGTAAAGACAAAAAAGAATGAAAAAACAGACTAGAACATTCAACAACTCTGGAAAAATTACAAAAGGTATAACATATGTATAATTGGAATACTAGAAGGAGAAAAAAAGAGAGACCAGAGCAGAGGAAACATTTGAAGTAATAATGGTTGAGAACTTTCCAAAATTAATGACAGACACCAAAACCATTGACCCAGGAAGTTTAGAGAACATCAAGCTGGACATATACCAAAAAATCAACATCATAGAATGAGTTAGATGTTCCTTCTGCTTCTGTTTTCTGAAAGAGATCATGGAGAATTGCCATCATTTATTCCTTAAGTGTTTGGTGGAATGGACAAACTGTGGTCCACTCACATAATTGAACATTATTCAGCAATAAAAATTAATGAGCTATCAGGCCAAAAACGACATGGATGAATCTTAAGTGCATATTGCTAAATGAAACGAGTCAGTCTGAAAAGGCTACATATTGCATCATTCCAATTATACGACATTCTATAAAAGGCAAAACTATAGAAACAACACAAAACCATCAGTAGCCTTCAGGGGGAGGGTTGAATAGATGAAGCAAGGGGGGATTTTAGGGCTAGTCTGTATGATATTGTAATAGTGAATAACATGACACTATGCATTTTCAACACTCAGAAATTTACAGCAAAAAGAGTGAAACAACACATGAAAATTATAATAAAATCATTTAGGAAAGTGAGAGAATCCCAGAATGAAATGCACAAAGTGACAAAATAATCTAACTATAGAATAAATGTTTGAAAATACCTCACTGAATGAGATCAGGGAAACATGCTGACCTAAGTAACTGTGGAAGTGAGTGGAGTCTGTAAGAATAGGCAAAAGAAACTACATAAGTATTATACTTTAGCTGATAAAGTTGTTTCCTATGGAGATAAGGATTAATAATTCTGATTCTGTTATATATGTATACTGGAACTGAGCAATAAAGCAAATGGATGGCAGATGGAGGGAGCCAGGTTTCTCACTGTTGGAGAGGGAGGTTACAGGTGAGGAAAGGGAAGAGGCTAGTATGATCTACATGGTAATGGATCAGAGCAAGAGACATCAGTATAAACTCACGTTTAGCTTACTAAAGATGCAGAAGGCTACATATGGAAATATTAATAGATATGAGTGTATACAGTGGTTAGTATGCACATATATATTTCCTTGTTGTGTCAGCTGAGCGGCCTAAAAACTGGTAATACCCCAGTACTAATGAACAAACCTAGCACCAGATCTTGGTTCTTAATATCATTCTTGAATAAAAGGAATCGAGTCTCCTTGAAGATGACTGAATCCAGGACTGAGGCAAGAAATATACATGACAACATTAGCTTGTAGTATCTTATACTGCCAGAAAGTAAGAAAGTACTCAAAAAACAAAACAATGGATGTATGGCAACAGGACAAACGAGTCATCTAAAAAAGTTCCCAATGGCCAAAGCTGGAAAAATTCGTGCTATAAAATAAAGTAGTATAGGACTATAGCCCAAAGTATAAAATAAATGTCCGTGAGTCAACATTGATATACATAATTTACCTAATAAATTAAGAGACAAATCTCTCATATAGAAGAATATCAAATAATTGCTGTAGATACTCCAGCCTCAAGGAAGTGCAGCATAATTCCCCACTACTTAAGTGTGGGCTGCACATAGAGAATTCTTCCACACTGTACAGTAAGGAAAGGGGGTTAAAAGTGGACCTTTTAAGTGGATAAACCTGACAAACACTACCTCGACCAGGTGATCAAGGTTATTATCAACAGTGATGTCATGTTGATAGTATGTACCCTTGATATAATGTGACAATAATGGCACTTTGCTTCTGTGGTCTTCCTTCCAAAAACACATAACCTCAATATAACCATGAGAAACACACCAGACAAATCCCAATTGAGAGACATTCTACAAAATACCTGGTACTTTTCAAAACTTTCAAGGTCACTAAAAAAAGGAAAGTTTGAGAAATTGTCACAGCCAAGAGGAACCTAACGAGATATTACTGAACGTAATGTAGTATCCTGGAACAGAAACAAAAAGACAGTTAAAAGCCAAGAAACTCCTAATAATGTACAAACTTTAGTTAATAAGAATGTATCAATATTAATTAATTGTATCAAATGTGCCATATTGATATAGAATGTTAATAACGGGAAATTTGATGTGGGGTATATCAGAACTCTGTACTATCTTTGCTATTTTTCTATAAATCTAAAACTGTTCTAAAATAAAAATTTTATTTACAAGAATAGTGTAACCAATATGCAATATAACTGGTATACATTCACAAGCTTTAGTCAATTTTGTGTCTATCTCTGTTTCTATTATCATGTTACTGGATAGCTTGTGAAGAATTTATCTTTTTAATATGCTATTTATTACATTTAATTCTTTATAAAATTGTCTACAATCTTTTTCAAAGCAGCAGTTTATAGTCTGGGAACACTAGTTGCCCTTCATGCTTTCCTTAATAGGAAGATATCAGTTATACTGCATCTGAAAAGAGAGATGGATTATCACTGATTGTCTTTCAGATTATCCATGTTAAAATGAAAGGTTTTTTTATTGCAATAGGACACGCAGTACTATAGGGCAGCATAACAGAAGCTGTAAGCACAAAGTAAGGGCTGTCAAACCTATTCCTGATTATTATAATGCAACTATTAATAATAATACTACATGTTAAAAAATTAGAACTCCATACTAATGCTAATCCAGTGGTAACAAAGAGATTACAGGTATAAACAAGAATAGTCACAGGTCAAGTGGGGCACTCCTGGGTAAACCAGCACTTGTGATCTCTCTACTTTTTAATTATCGTAATTAGTGCTGGAAATGGACTCTCATTGGCAAATTCTATAGTATTCAAGATATGTGAACTGTTTAAAATATTATAGGGACATTTTCCACTCTTGCCTGAACAAACCCTAGATTCTCTAAGGTGGTGCTTGAAACTTGATCTCTAAATGGCTCTGTGTCCAACACAGCGTCGGATTCTGGTCGTCTAATGCTGACTACAAGGGGCAGAGAAGTCTGCCTGTAGAATAATTTTACAAACGTCTCCAGTGAAACTTCCAGGCAAGGCGAGGTAGTATCTCATAGGAGTGAAGAGAACTGGAACGTCATCAAGCTTTTATACCGGTTTATATAAACTGTTTTGTGTTTGTTAGCTAAGAAACATTTGTTTAATAAATATATGTTTGTGTCACAGAATCTGGATGAGATTTGATTTCATTATAACCTGTGGTACGGTTGTAGGAAAATGGCTGACCTCCACCTACCTCATAAGAGAACCTACAAGGTGTGCATGACCAAAATGATTTAAGTAGTTTACAACAATAATTTTTAATGACATTTCCCTTCTGAACAATTAACATATCAATATATCTGAATATGGGATTTATTCATTCAGCTGAGCCTTAGAGATTATGCTGTCAAAATGCCTTATACAGAGTTTTAAAAATAGAATTATGAATATCATTGGAATAAAATCTCATCCACTCATAATGTAGTGCTTCAAATCTTATGTATAATTAATCCTAGTAAAATACTTACAATCTACTTACAATGTATGTGCACAATTTATTTTTTGCATTAACTACAGTAGGATATACTTGGATATTCTTGAATCCTTACCTAGAATTGTTATGGAGCAGTTTTCACATTTTCCAAATATGGACTGGTGTGTGACTAGTACAAAAGGTTATAGAATTTTCAAGTGCTTAAAATTTTAATTCTTCCTGCTTCAAAACTCTTTTATTCCATTCTCAACAATATCCCTTGGAAATTGGCATAGTACGTTTTCAGATGTTGGTGCTGCAGGACCTGCTTAAAATGGATGTCTAATATCTTCAATTGTCAGCACAGAGGATTTTTAGGGCAGTGAAAATACTCTGTATGATACTGTAATAATGGATACATGTCATTATACATGTGTCTAAACCCACAGAATATACAATACCAAGAGTGAACCCCAATAAAACTATGGACTTTGGCGGATTATGTGTCAGCGCTGGTTGATCAGTTGTAACATATGTACCACTCTGGTGGTGGTGGGGAGGTGTTGATAATGGAGGAAGCTGTGCATGTGTGGGGGCAAAGGGTATAGGGGAAATCTCTGTACCTTCCCCTCAATTTTGCTGTGAGCCTAAAACTGTTCTAAAAAAACGAAGTCTTAAAAAGTAACTTAGGGGCCAACCTAGCGGCCTAATGGTTAAGTTCGGCATGCTCCACTTCAGCGGCCCAGGTTCAGTTCCCAGGCACAGACCCACACCACTCACCAGTGGCCACACTCTCATGACGACCCACATACAAAATAGAGGAAGAATGGCAACAGATGTTAGCTCAGGGATTATGTTCCTCAGCAAAATCAATAATAATAATTAATTTAAAAAATTATCCGGGCCAGCCTGGCAGTGTAGTAGTTAAGTTTGCACGTTCCACCTCAGTGGCCCAGGGTTCACAGGTTCAGATCCCTGAACCTATGCACCACTTATCAAGCCATGCTGTGACAGACATCTCACATAGAGTAGAGGAAGATGGGCATGGATGTTAGCCCAGGGCCAATCTTCCTCAGCAAAAAGAGGAGGACTGGCAACAACTGTTAGCTCAGGGCTAATCTTCCTCACCAAAAAAAAAAGAAAAAAGAAAAAAGAAAAAAAATTGTCTATCACATTCAAATTCTAAAATAATAAAATTTTCATTAAAGATCAATGATTAGCTAAACAAGTATAGGTTAAATAACATTGCTAAACATAAAGGCCTCTTTGTTTAAACCTTCAGTCAAAATTAAAAATATGAGGTAAAGGCATTTATTACTCTGAAAACAAAATTATGTATATTTTAAGAACTGACTTTGAGACGGTCTGTGGAAGACATTTTTTGGATCTAGCAATATATATAATCTCTGAAGATATGCTTTTGGTATAGTGATGTCCCCTTCACATCCAAAATGCCAGTTTTTATAAATGGATATGACTGCCAATTCTTAGGGGATTTGTCATAGGTCCATTTAAAATTCTTCCAATAGCATAAAACACATCAACTTTGGATTTTTTAAACCAACTGAAGAAAACCTATTTGGAACAAAATTTATGTCAGGAAAAATAAGTATTTTATGGGATTTATTTTTTTCCATTCAAAATTAAAGTAGTATTTTTGAATCTCACAGGAAAAATTACATTTTAATGACACAGACTACTCTTACTCGATTATATAATAGCATGTCAGTGATAAAATGTGTGCTGCATTTTAACCAGACAACAGAATGTTAACTTATTCTCTTTTTGAGAAGTGACTCCTGTGGAAGCTATTTTCTCATATATCCCTTATTTAGAGTTCCAAAGTTCACAAAAATATCTTTACCAGCACTATTTGATTTTAGCCTTGAGGTAATCCTTTGAAATAGATGTTATCATGGTCTCCACTTTGCATATGGAGCAACAGAGGCTCAGATGGTGACTAGCTCACGGAACCTGCAGAATGAAGGTGCCTGCTAGTGTATTGTCCTCTACACCACATTTACTGAGTTCCAATGGTGTACTCATGTTGTGCCAGCAGCTCTAGGGATCAGAGATAAACAAGACATGCTACCAGACCCTCCCATGATCCAGGCCTTTCCATCCCATAATTAAGGATACAGTAATCTCCACTTGTCCTCAAGGGATACATTCCAAGACCCCTAAGAGATGACTGAAACCATGGATAGTACCAAACCCTATATTTACCTACTATGTTTTTCCTTATGCATACATATTTACGATAAAGTTTTATTTATAAATTAGGCACAGTAAGATTAACAACAATAACTAATAATACAATAGAATAATTATAACAATATACTGTAATAAAACTCATGTGAATGTGGTCTCTCTTTCTCTCTCAAAATATCTTATTGTGCTGTACTCACCCTTCTTCTTGTGATGATGTGAGATGATACGTGGCCTACGTGATGAGATGAAGGGAGGTGAATGCAGTGAGCATTGTGACAGCGTTATTTTCCAACCCGGGTTGACCAGGAGTAACTGAAATCATGGAAAGCGAAACCGCGGATAGGAGGGACTAAGATAAGTCTTTACACTGAGCTGGGGCAAGCAGAAAGGACATTGCGCAAGTAGAAATAACACCAGCTCCTTCAGTGATCATCAGGCCAGGCCGCCAGAGCAGGCTCGCTCCTTCACTACTGCCCAGTGCGCAGGCTTCTGCAGTGCTGGTGTAGCGGCCCCATCATTTCCATGTGGTCATCCTATTTTCAGGCCTTAGTCCTATGCCTGGAGCAGGTAGCCATGTGGATCCCATAGGACAGCCTTTGTCCACAGTATTCCGTGAGAGATTTAAGCCCTCTTCTGCCATGAACAGCATAACTAGTACCATTCAAGATGCCTAGGAAAGAAGAGAATTCATTATATACAAAGGATAATTTAGGGCCCTACAGCTGAATTCTCTCCCAGCTCCAAATGAGAAGAGCGACAAGTGTAGATTCTCTGTTCTTCAGGCGAGGGGGTGTCAAGACAACCTTGGGTTTATCTTTTTCTTTTCTTTTTATTTGTACACGTTAGCACAGGCCAAAACAAAAAATGATTACACATTTTTTAAAAACTAGACTCGACTTTGAAATGGCAAGGTTCATATGAAGGAAATGAATAGGCCTAGAGAGTTTTACAAATCTATTTTATTTCCTTTTCAGCTATCATGTGTGACACATCCTATTTTATAAGTGTTCCAAAAACATTGAAAACTCCCCTTGGGCAGGAACTAGCTCTGCTTCTTCATGCCCTCTAATGGCATATGCAGCATTTTACACAGCATGGGTTCTGAACAACTGTTGTTCACAGACTTGCCTGATTTGGTTTTATTCCAAAACTTGGTATCAATAATTAATTAGATATTTATGATGGCAACATTATTATAGCTAATAATTGTGCTTCAATTTCCCCATGAGGAGTGTTGCTAATGCTAGAAGAAATAGTTCTTTCATAAATATGTAAGTTGTTTAAAAACAACTATGGCTTAAAAACAATAGCAATCTTTGACGCAGCAATTATATTTCTGGGAATTTATCCTTAGTAATTACTCATGAATGTTTTTAAGAAATCTTTAGAGCAATTAATAGTAAGGAGAATGTGATCCCACTTTTTTAAAAAAAGAAAACATGTTTTGATTTTTTTGTATTATTTTAAGTTTTTACTGTAGGCACATGCATGAATAAAATAATAAAGATGTGTCTGCCAAAATATTACACAGGTTTCCTCTAAATGGTGACTGTTACACGAGGTTTTAATTTTTATCTAGAGTTTCTCTATACTGATCATTTTTTTCTCCGATAAATGTGTTACATTATTATTAAATAATAAATAAATGTTATATTAAAAATTTGAGGTTATATTGAAATTCTGAGATGGTTAAATTGTATTATCACAGTTACAGAATCTTAGAGATGAATGGGGTTGAGTTAGAGGTCACCTTTCCTAAATTCCTTCCCAGCACAACTCAGCATCCCTGACCCAAGGTGAGCCAGCATCTGTTGGAATTACTGCCAGTGAAAAACTCAGACGCTCTGTGCTCATGGATTATGATTTTGATTATGATTTACTATACAAGAGATTTTCACTCCGGTAGAAACCACTTCATCTGGAGAGGATCTCAAAAACTGATTATCCCAATAAAATTTGTAGAATTGAGGTTGAAATGTTTTCATATAGACCAAAAGATATTAAAATAATCAATAGCAATTTTAGTAACCCACTTTTGGCTTTTCCACCAAATTTAACCACAAATTTTCCCTCATTGGCATGTAAAATTTGCTTGATATTTAAAAGAGTTGATATAACTACTTAAAAATTGAATAAGAGAGGGTTCCAAAGTTCACTTTAATAGAAATGGCCAATTTACCACAACTCTGATTATAAAATCAACTGTTTGACAATGACTGCTATTTAAAGTGCAGAGGAAAATGTTGGTAGTCTCAAAGAAAATAATATGAAAGAAATAACCCATTAGTCTGGCTGCCTGGTAATACATCGAGGGAGAACATGATTTTAAACAAGAACTATTAAGAAAACTATTGGAAATAATTGTAACCAGGAAAAAAAAAAAAAACCTTACTTCAAAGAGAGTTGCAGAAATACACTTTAAGAAATAAATGGCTGTAGACGAGTTTGGCAAAGTTTTGGTGAAGTTGATTATTTTATTGGAGAAGGTGCTAATTAAACAGACACACAAAAACACACATACCTGTATAAAATACATATATGTTATATATAATGAAGTTGTATGTATTATATAGGAAGTTCTATATATTTACATATATTGAATTATGTAATGTATACATAATATATTGTTTTATATAGTGTGTGTGTAGAGAGACAGATACAGAGACAGAGAGAAAGAGAGACGGATAGAAAGACAGAGACAGAGACAGAGACAGAGAGAGAGAGAGAAGAGACAGAGAGCTGTGAGTCCAAAAAGAGTTTTACAACAAGTGGTTTGTGAAAGAAATAATATCGATTAGTCCATGGTGAACACAGTACCAATAATTTGTTTATACTGTTTAAAGAACAGCAAATATGGTAAGAGTATATATATATATATCTACACAGATGCATGAAGAAACATATTAATATAAGTGGAAGTATAAGAATAAACCAAACTTTGTTATAGACAAATTCTTTTTCCAAGATATCTCTGGTTCAGTCTGGCTAATTAGAATTTTAGGGATTTTTAAAACAGGAACTTTATACCTAAAAGAAATATATAAGGAAATTATTTATTTTTAAATTATAGAAAAACCAACGTATTCTGAAAAATAAAGTTTAGTGCCCAGATATGACATCATCATAATTTTTTACATTTTAACAAAGCCACTGTATAATTATTCCCCATTTTTCACTTTGAGTATTTATTTTTGTATAAGAAATATATTTTAATAATCAACATATTCATTTTTAAGGAAAAAACTGGTCTTTTAATCATTTTTTTACTTCTGCTACACTTGTTTATGTGAAGCTGATT